AAAAAAACCAAAAACCTATGTACTATCTACATAATCACAGGGGAAAAAATCAACAAGTCTTAAGTCATCAACATGCGGACTCACTGACTACTTGCTCTGAAGCCCCAGAACACAAACTAGCATGGGCTTTTGAAATATTTTCTCGGGAACATGGAGGACCTCATTCTTGTCATGCCCCAGTTACCAGGAGGAGAATGTCTCTCTCCCCACAGGGAGCTGCCAGAAATGAAAGTGAGGAAGGCCAATGGACTGTCTTTGAACCCTGCCCAGTGTCTGTCACAGGCTCTGCTGGTTTGTTTGTTTAATAACGAGTGTATCAAGCTCTTAAGGCCCCTTTCCCCTATATCCTAGCCTGAGCACTTATTTATATCTTTAGAAGCACCATGTGTAACAGAAACACAGTAGCTTGTAAAAACAAAGTTCAATTGGAATAGTCTGTTCAAAACAGAACTTTTTGATCTTTTTGTCTTGCATAACTTGGCTGTTTTTTGTGGGTTTTTTTTTTTTTTTTTGGTGGAGGGGTGGTGTTCGTTCGATTTTTGGTTTTTGTTTTCTTTTGGTGTTGAGGATCAAACACAGGGGGCTCCATACAGGCTATGCAAGCACTCTACCACTGAGCTACATCTGGCCTCCTGCAATCTTTATCAGATATTCTGCCCACATTTTTGCTAGTATTTTCAAACATCCACAATTTTTTTTAAAGAAAAACCTATTCTTCTCACACTTTTTTTTTTCTCTTTAAGACTAAGATTCTCTTTTAATTCTTTCTCACTCTAAGTGGAGTTTGTGGTTGAACTTGAACTATAACACTAGGATGAAATTTATCATCCCTTCTCACTGGAAATCTCCCAGAGGGAGTCAGAGAAACAGCAAGTCAGGACCTGCATTCCCACAGAGTCCTCAGCCTAGGCAGAAGGAGGCTCCCAGGACCAGGTGACAAGAGCCCCACCCATTCCGTCTTGGGTTGACAGGTACACCCCCTCCCCCATCCACTCCTGCCATAGTAGAGACTGAGATGAGCAGGAAAAAACCACAGGAGTGGACCAACCCATCCCTCATCATTTATCGTTTTCAATGTTTAAAATCACACACACACACATACACACACCACATGATGTTTATTCAGTTGCCAAACACATCAATCTCTGACTTAGGTTTCTCAATTTAAATAGCAGATGCTATGTGCTATCATGTTTTGCGGTTTATCCTGTTTTGTACAGTCGCCAGTTGTTTTGGCCTCCAAGATGACAGTATGTTATGTTTTATGTGGCACATGGGACGCAGAGAAGTATAGGAGAATGCCGCTCCTCGTTGCTGCTTATGTTCTACAAAGTCCTTTTAATGCTATTAGTAAATGGTTTACACTGACAAGGAGACCAGGTTGCTGAATGACTTAAGGATCAGGGTTCACATTTCCTTTAACAGGATCCTGTCAGAGAAAGGAACAAGAATGACATTGCAAGTCATTAGATTTTTGGTTGATAGGCTGCTGTTGTGTAAAAGCCATGTCATGCGTAAGGATTTACTTTCCTACACTATTTTAAAACTCTCATTTGATCTTCACTATAGAAGACAGTAACTCTCAGGTTGTGATTAAAAGATAAGCTCTAAATAAGCCAGACTCAGAAAGTCAAGGGTCATATGTTTTCTTTCAAAGGTGAAAACTAGAGAGAAAAAAGGAAAACATAGGGGAGGACATCATGAATGTATGATGGCATACATGAATGTATATTTGCATATGTAACAAAAAAAACCACTAACATGTAAAATTATAATGCACCAACAAAAAATGATCTATAAACAAAGCCAACCTCTAGTCTCCCTCACACTCATCTACTTGTTCACTTGGCTCTTCACTCACCACTTTATGTTCCTTTTATGCTCCATTTTCCCCTCCAGCTCTGCTCTCCAACCTTCTCTGTCGTTTCACACCTGTTTTGGACCTGCATCCCTAGGAGTTTCCTTGCTTTCAGCTCCTGGTCCCTTTCACAAGTGGAAGGTGTGTGCAGGATATTCAAGCGAGTCAGGAGTGAGGAGATCAGGCCTCTTCCTGCTTGGCTTTGGTTTGGCATAGCCACATCCCTCTGCTGAAGCCATTAAGACCAGCAATCACTTCTTTGGCCACAGCTCTCTCTCACACCCATCTCACTGGTGATGACTCCCTGCCTTTCCCTTCGAGCCTAGGATATAAACCTCCTCTCTGTGGTTTCCCCTCTGGGTGCATTGGCACCATTTGTTTTAATTATGCCCTTAAGTGATAAAAATTATCCATTAAACTGTATTCTCTCTACCTTGTGACAAACTCTTCCCTATGTTTTTTGACAGGACCCTAACCAATGAGTATGCACCTAATGATTAATGAGAATGCCTAGAATTTTCTTCAATGAGATTAGTAATTCAGGAAAATACCTATCCGACAGTTCAGAGATAAAAGCTATCCTAAAGGTCTTTCCAGAAGTGTGGCACTTGAAAAAGCAGACTTCAACTTGAATCCCAGCTCAGCAACTTTGCTGGATTGTATGAGAAATCACCCACGAACCCCATCTCAGGATGTTTACTTGCCCAAGAAACAACCAGGAAGCTCACTCTACACTGTGGAGACACCTTGTGAGGCTGGAGCACTCCACAGTCATGCTAGAGTTTTGGCGGCTTCAGTTCTTTTCATATACACTCACATGCATTCACATGTTTACACACAGATATGTGTACTCACAAATATGTAAATGCACTCAGATATGTACATGTACACACATGCTCACATATATGTCCATGCACACATTCACTCACACATACATATACAGTTGTCCCTCAGTATTCAAGGGTGATTTGTTCCAAGATCCTCTACAAATACCCAAATTCATAGACACTCAAGTCCCTTATCTAAAATGGCATAGAATTTGCTTATAACCTATGCATATCCTTTCATATTTTAAAACATCTTTAGATTACTTATAAGACCTAATATGCTATGTAAATAGTTATTATACAGTATTGTTAGGGAACAATGACAGGAAAAGTCTGTATATTTATGGTACATTCACAATTTTTAAAAATATTTTCAATTCGGTTGGGTGAAGCCACAGATGAGATGTGGAGAGCCAACTGTAACACACATTTATGCCCACATATTCTCATACACATTTTCACACTTTTCTTCCAAAACATCTCAAAAAGATGTGTTCAAGAAGATTTTCAGCTTCTACTAAATCCTGTGCTCAAAACTTCCTATTTTTGCACGTGATCTTCCCTAACCTCAAGAGCTGGCAAAGTACTGTAATGCAAAATACCACATTTTCTGCTGCAATATGAACAACTTTTATTTCAGACAAAGAACAGATTGTAGCTCTGTGCAGTCTTCACTACAATCATCTTTAAAAAAGCAATTTGTGAAAGATAAAATGATTTTTACATGCTCCTGTCTTTTCCCATGGAAGTAAAATAGGAGTGGAGTAACACATTTTCAAATATTCAAGTGGATTTTTAAAAAGAAGAAATGGTAATTTTCTAAGGTTCTGAAACTCACCCATTGCTCATTCTCATAAGAATCCTACTTTGCCCCTTGATGAATGATAGAATGAAGTATCCTCAATGTCACTACACACCTGGATGAGGCCAGTGCAGAGAGTAGCCTGAAATTACTCTGTCTGCTCACTGAGTGGCTTGAGTGAAAGGTGGAGAAATGCCCAAAGACAGTTGCTCTGTTCCAGATCATGTTTCTCCTGGCCACTAAAACAGGGTTCTCATTTGCTTTGTACTTTAAAGTTTGCAGAATGTTAATAGATAGTAGAGAATCTTGGTGTTGGGATTTCTTAGCGGGCATTGATGAAATCAGTAACATCATCAGCCTTCTGTCTCTTTGTTTTTTTACCTTTTATCAATCATATGGAACAAATGATAAGATACCCAGGTCTTCAGTTGTGTCCCCTAGAAGCATAGTCTAAGGTGGGGGTTCTTGAAAACAGGCTTTGACAAGGGAGAATTCTCAGGGAAACCTGCATGGAGTGAAAAGAGAAAAAGAGGCAAAGTCAACAATGAGCTCTGAGTTGTTCCACTTTGAGGCAAGGAAGGGAGGTGTCCTGCAACATCTCTGGAAAGGAAGGTTCCCAAGAGCCTAGGACAAAGATCTGGATGAAGGGGCAGCCCTGAGCTGCTGGCAACCTCTACTCAGCACATCTGGGAGGTGGGTATTCCTGCAAGCAACAAGGATCTCTGTAGTACCAATGACTTATTTGCAGATTATCTGCAAATTTGAGAGTCACCAAGTTTTCAGTTTATATCTCTTGCATGTGTGAAAATATTTCTTGACGTAGTTTTCAAACAGATCTCCCAAAGTCCACTGGGCAGCTTGGATTGGGATAAGCCAGCAGAACTTTAGCCCCTGCTCTCTTTTCCTTTTTATTTATTTTATGTATTGGATTTCCAGGTAAGATTATAACTGAACAAATGGACTATGATGTAAGTGCCTTGGTGACAGGGTCCCTGTCTACCTTATCCACTGGAAC